CTTGGAGTTCAATGAAATAACGAATGTCGCTCAAATAATTTGGATTAAATGATGTCTTGGAAAGTCCCTTATTCAAAATCATTCGCAGTCGATGACATTACTTTGATAGCCAAAAGGCATATTTTGGGCTTTCGTTCTTGAATTGGGCTGAGATTGAGGAGTTCTTGAGGTTATTATGTCGATTTATAGAGTTGTTACAGTTAGATTCTTGTGTTCTTGTGCTGGGTATTTAAATCTAAAGAGAGATTGAGAAAAAGAATCGAAGTTAGGCGAATTGGGGTTAGGAAACAAAGAAGAAATTTTGTCAGTCGAAATTTGGAACCCCCTCCGCATCGCGCAGCCACTTCTCAGATTTGGGAATTTCTGTTTCGCGTCGCGTCGCTGACATGGAGTGTTCTGCCTCAGAAGTCGTTTTCGAAACCAAAATTTAAATGTTTCTCTGCGTCGCGGACCCACTTTTAAATATTGACTTTTAGTATTTTCTCATGTTTAGCTATCTAAAATCATTACTAAACATCACGAGATCATTCATATCACAAATCACAACCTTGAATTCAAGTCTTGAGAGTTCTTTCAAACATTTTGAGAAAGTCCCTTTGAGTCTTTTTGAGGAGTATTTTACAAATTCTAATAACTTGTTCCAAGACTCGAGCAAGTAAGTATGAGAGTGACAATAATGTATTCATGAGTCTATCTTGTCATCATGAGATCTTTGTTATCATGAACCATAACTCTTGAATTCATAATTCACATTCAAGAGAGAGTTAAGAGTAGAGTTCAAGAAAGCCTTTGAGTTCAAATGTGAATCCTTTGAGATCAATTATCAATTTGAACTAAGTTTTGAGGAAGTAAGTCAGAGAATAGTAAGAGTCGTATACATGAGTTTCATATAGCTATGTAGACCATCGAGTCAAGTTATTTCATGCCTATAATTTCGCATGAACTTCGTAAGTTGAGCATCTTTCAAAAAGTGGTATCTTCAAGTTCTAAGCCTTTAAGTGTTGAGTTCCTTATCCCTTTTGAGAAGTATCTTTGAGTCCTTAAGTTGAATATTTCATGCTCATAATTCTGCATGAATATTATAAGTCGAACAGTCTTGAGATGAGAAGTATCTTTGAGTCTTTGAGTTGAGTAGTTCATACTCATAATTTCTCATGAACTCTGAGTTGAGCATTCTTGAAATGAGTAGTATCATTGAAGTTCTTGAGTTTCAAGTGTTTGAGTTCTATCTATAGTTATTGAAAACATTGCATTGAGTCGTTCATGTCCATAATTCGGCATGAACCATATTTTAAGAAGTCTTTTACAAATGTTTTAACTTTGTTTTAAGACTTAAGTTTTGAGTTCAGTAAAGGGTAAAGTTGAAGTTCTTTTCTTCAAAAAGTATATGGGGGACTAAGTATTCCCAAAGAGATTTAAAATATTTTCACATTTAAATAAGAACGGAAACTAAAATTTTCAAAGAGCCTTCGGGCTAGTTTTCAGAAAAGAGAAATCGCTTTTTAAATGAAGTAAGAGGGGAAACTTTAATTTCCAAGATAGCCTTTGAGCTAAGTTTTTGAGCACTAATCTCAAATCACAGAAGAAGTATGTTTTCAAACATAAAGAGCTAATATAATGTAATATTTTTGGGAGTAGTATTGAGCACCGATGGGGAAGAGTTCATACAACTATGAGCCCCCTTAAACCATGTAGCCATCATGGGTAGAAAATGGTCATACTTTTTAGATGAATATTTCTCGCATAGACTAGTGGATCCACTTAGTAGTTCAGGTCCTATACCATGGCAAGGTATAGGATGGCCCGGGCAGCTAGGGGCTAATAACGATGTATCATCACTATAGTTCTTAAGTGATGGTTGTCGGTTAGAGAAACTCCCACAACATTATTTGCATGGTTCCTCAAGGGATTCTGCTTAGTATGAATGGGGGTATGAGACTTTATTCATGCATTGCACAAGTAGACTTTGAGAGGGAGCATGATATGTTTTTTATGATTTTATGATTATGATTTGACAACATGTTTTAAACAGTTTTCAATTTCTTTATATTACACTTGTTTTAAACTGCTTAATAATGAAACGAGTTCAGTTATGTTGAGTTGAGTTGAGCCAGGTAAGTTCTTCAGTTTCTTTCAGAATCTTTCAAGCTTATGTTATGCTTTAGAATTCCCCTTACATGCTTGTACATTCCACATACTGAGTCATTTGGCCTGCATCTTCTCATGATACAGACACAGGTATTCAGGATCTTCGTTGATACATCCGAGAGTTCGAGTTAGCTATGGTGAGCCTCTTTGTTTCGAAGGATTTCATTTACTTTTCAGTTTAGTCAGGATGTCGTGGATCCTGTTCCGACTTCCATCTTTATCAGTTAGAGGCTTCATAGATAGTCAATATAGTTGAAAAGTCTGTATTATTCATTTATTTTATTAAATGTTTTAAAAACTTAAGTGCCTATTTTATAGCAAGTTGAATATATTATTTTTATTCTAAGTTGTTCATTTGAGTTAAAGTTTTTGAAAAGTTGAGTTTATTGAATTTTATTCAGTTTTAAGCTTTTGCATGCTTAAGTTAGTCTTCCGCTTGTAGTCAGCCAGGATGAGGGTTCGCTTGGGACCAGCAATGGTTCTTGAGTGCCGGCCACGTCCAGGGTATAGACTCGGGTCGTGACACCATGAATCTTTTAGCCACTGAGAACTCTATAAAGATCAAAGTCATTAATTTTACAAGTTTAAGAATTCTAATCTAAATGATATCAATAGTCTAATGATTACATCAAATTCTTGATTAACATATCTTTACTTCAACATAATGATCAAAAGCATAAACATAAACAACAAATTTTAAAACTTGTACTCAAAAACAAAAATTAATAACATAAGCATAAATCAATGACTGTAAAAAACATACCAGAATTTGTAACAATAGAATGAAACAAAAAGGAAAAAATCGAGCCCACTGAATGCACATTGTCCCTTTAAGGAAATTATTCTCTTCTAGTACCCGAGGTTTAAAGGAATAGATCCTCTCAGGATAGAACGATTCTACGATTCTATTCACCAGTGTATTGATACAAAAACAATGGTGTCAGTGAGCCACTCAGCAGGAGCAAAGTCTTGTACAGAAGAAGAAGAAGTTCAGAATTTTTGTTGTTTTAAAATGATAGGAAATCCCTCTATTTATAGACAACAAAGGGTAGTGTGAGTAAATGCTTATTGTGTCTTATTGGAAAGGTCACAACTCTTTGGAAAAGTCATAATCTTTCATAAAAGTCACAATTTTTCATAAAAGTCGCAATTCTTCATAAAAGTTGCAACTCTTCATTAAAGTTGTAACTCTTCATAAAAGTTGCAACTCTTCGTAAAAGTCGCAACTTTTCATAAAAGTCACACGTTTTTATAAAAGTCACGACTTTTCATGAAAGGGAATGCTAATTTTGAAAATAAATAAGTTAAAAGAGAATCCTGGTTTGTGGTGGTGCCACGTAGGCGGGTCTAGGGTTCTCTTTTATAGATATGATATATTCAATATTGAATTTAATTTTCAATTTTCTTTTAATGATAACATAAAATATTTTCCTTCATAACAAACACACCCTTAAAAGGAGACGAAGAATTAAAAAAATCTTTTCATGGAAATACATATTTTTCTACATAATAAGATGCAAATTAATAATATAGATACCCATATTATTCATTAAATTTATTCATTTTTATCCATATTAAATATTGGTCGAGATAAATATTTTATTTATGTTCATCTAACTCATTTTCAATCAATCCATATTCAACTCGATCCGCTCATTTTTCACCCCTAGTAATAGAGGTGATGGAGCATAGAGAACAAAATGAAATAAGAAAAGTCACATAGCCGCGTAGAGTGATTCAAACTATTGAGTATGAAAAAAAAATTCAAATTTCAAACTATTGAGTATGACTGAAGAAAAGAAAATTCAAACTATTAACTGTGAAGAAATAAAAAGATCCATACTATTAGGGCTGGGCATTCGGTTATTTGGTTCGGTTTCAGTTTTTTTTTTTTGGTTTTTTTGATTTTCGGTTCTTGTACAACGTGTACCGAACACCGAACCGAATTATTTCAGTTTGGTTCGGTTTTTGTTAGTTCGATTTTTTTGTTATGGGTCTGCTTAGTGGGCTTTTAAAAATTATACAATTTTTTTGTTTGATTTTTCAATTTAATGGGCTAAAAATAGTTACATTGCTATGTCATATCAGCTGCAATATTCTGTAAAACGCCCTATAGCTGAAAGCTGAAACATGTACATTTCACACTTGTACCACTGCTACTATAAACGAAATATTATTACATATATATGTACCACTGCTGTTATAAACTAATGCAAGTTGTCCCTAAAGAGGTATACTTGTAGTTGTATAATGCAAGCTGTCCCTAAATTAATTGGACATTTAATTTAACTAACAACAAAAAGCTCACCTCAAAAGTCAAAATTGTCATACTGCCAAAGTTTTTAATTAACAAAAGTGCATTGTACTAACAAGCAACAATTTATCAAGTGATAAAACTTCACTACACTTCACAAATACAATGATCAATTGATCATGCCATTACACCACAACATAATAATAATTTAACAAGTAACAATAATGCACCAATGTAGTTTCTTTCATGAGACCACTTTCAAGTTTCAAGTGCCAACAATAACAAACAACAATAATGAGCAACAAACAATGTAGCTTCTTGCCTTCTTCCATGAGATCACTTTCAAATGCCAACAATAACAAATAACAAAAAATGAGCAACAATGTAGTTTCTTGACTTTCTTCCATGAGACCACTTTCAAGTCTCAAGTGCCAACAAAAATACTAACAAAACTTAGTATTGTACGTCTTTCTTCATTGTCTTGACTCTTTGACCTTTTAAGATAAAATCAAATGTTAGAATACTACTTTTAAGATTAAAAAAATGATATGATTAAAATAAATGATGTATTGAACTCACCACTATTATATACTTGTGACTTGCAAGTCAATCATAGATCAACAATGGAAGAGTTTCTTCCACTATTTGCCATCTCTATAGGTAAGAAAATCAAATATGTCATACAACACAATAAGTATTTTATTTTTCAAAAACAAATAAAAAAATAAAAAGTCTTACCAAGTTCAATTTTTTCAAGAAACTCCAAACTTTCTTCAACACATATAGGCTTAGTTTCTTGTCTAAGTCAATCTTGGACACAAATAAGACATTGCACACATTTGGGAGTCAATGAACTTCTAAAGGGATCAAGAATACGACCACCAGTGCTAAATGCACATTCCGATGCCACACTCGACATAGAAATAGCCAATACATCTCGAGCCAACTATGAAAGTACAGGAAATCTAGGAGAATTAACTTTCCACCAAATCAAAGTATCAAAATCCTCAGATTCAGGCTCTTGGTCTTCAAGAAGATATCTATCCAACTCAGATTTAACACTTAAACTTCCAGAATCTTCCTTTTGTTTCTTCATAAAGAATTTGTTTTCACATTTTGAGAAAGACCACAAGTAGATGAATCAGATAAGTCAGATGAAGATGATTGATTTTTAGAACCTTTTGCATACTTACTTACATAGATCGCAAATAATTTTTTCAAGTAAGCTTCTACTTCATTATTCACTATCTTTCCCTTTTCTTCCCCAAGTAATTCTTCAAGAGCAAAACTAACATACACAAATTTATTGCGAGGATCCAAAACAGAAGCAATAAAAAGCATTTTGTTCATCTTCTCAGGAGTACCCCAATATTTCTTGAACTTTTCTTTCATCCCCGAAGCCATTTTACTCAAATCAACTTCATCACTTGCCATACATGCTTTCAAATATGCATCAAGCTCACATATATCCTCAAAATGAACATTACAAGTAACATACCGTGAACCTGAAACTTTCAATATGAGCTCATAAAATTTTTCAAGAAATTTTGTGACATTCCTCACATTAGTCCAATCCTCATTTTGAATTGAACCTGCAATACTTCCATCTTCACAAACATCAGTAGCAAGAAAAGAATTAAAATTACCATCATAAAGATCAAACCTTTCAAAAGCTTTCTCAAACTTTTCTGTCGTGTCCAACATCAAATATGTGGAATTCCACCTAGTAGGCACATCTAAAGACAACATCTTATCACTTTCTATCTTTTGTATTTCAACACATTTCAAGAAGTTTCTTGTCCTTGTAGAAGATGATCTAACATATTTCACCATTTGTCTCACCTGTTTGATAGAAGGACCAATTTCTTTCAAACCATCTTGCACAATTAAATTAAGTATGTGAGTCATACATCTCACATGAAGATGCTTACCGTCCATCATATTAGTTCCTCACATATCTAATTTTTTGGACAACTCTAAAACCGCCACATCATTTGAAGAGGCATTATCAACTGTAATAGTAAAGACATTGTCCAAATTCCAATCAAGTAAACAATTACTAATACACTCAGCCAAATGCTCACCTTTATGACTAGTGATAGGACAAAAATTCAATATTCTTATATGAAGCACTCAGTCCCTATCAATAAAGTGAGCAGTCAAACACATATAATTGATTTTTTGCACCGAAGTCCATGTGTCTATTGTGAGACAAATTCTTGGTTGTATTTCTCTAAAAGACTTTTTCAAATCTATTCTCAATTCACCATAAACTTCATAAGAATCCCTTGTTATGGTTCTACGAGAAGGAATCCGAAACAAAGGTTGGACTTTACTCATAAACTTCTTAAAGCCTTATTTTTCAACAAAACTAAAAGGTAGTTCATCCAAAATTATCATATCAACTAAAGCTCTCCTAGCTACCTCTTGCTCAAACTTCCAAGTCTCTATCGAAGAACTGTTATTTTGAATATTTAACAATTTTTGAATACCAGGTGCAACAGGCGGGGGCTTATACACTTTACATCGGCCAGTCAAATGTTGTCTCAGTCCACTTGTTCCATTTCTAGTTGTATTAGCAGCATAGTATTGTTTACAATATAAACACTTTGCTTTAACTAATATATCATTTCAAATATTTTTTCAAAGTGTTGCCAAACAGTAGATCTAGGATCCATTTCTTTTCTTTTTTATGTTTCCTCTGTGCCAATTGACGCATCATTGCTATTAGTAGATGTATTATTCGTAGAACCAGCCATACTTATTCGACTTTGATCAACCACACCCACATTTAATTGATTTTGTTCAGCCATCTATATAAAAAAAAAATTATTTCACAATGAATTCACAAACTAACTAAGTAACTAGTAACAACTAACAAAAGCAAAAATCAAAAAGAAAAATGAATGGAAGAAGAAATATTCATTTTGAAACTTTGCAACTTAAAATGAAAGAAGAAATATTGACAATACCTGATGGTGGTCGCCGCCTCGTCGGTCGCTGGTGGTCGCCGGCTGCTGCGTAATGCTGGTCGGCGGTTGTTGGCTTGTTGCCGGTCGCCAGAAGACGTGCAAAGAACAATGGAATCAAAAAGTGTGGCTGCCCTGCTATTCTGCTAAGTGCTAAGTGCTAAGAGAATAGAAAAGTAAAAGGTAGTGTTTGACCAATTGACCTAATTGATTTTGCTTATTTATTATTTGTTATAAATAAAATATAAATAATATTATAAATATAATATAATATATTTCGGTAAACCGAAACACCGAATAGTACAAAATCAAATACCAAAAATCAAACCAAAATACCAAAAAATACAAAAGTATATATCGAATACCGAACCGAAAACCGAAATACCGAAATAATTCGATTCAATTCGGTGTTTTGGTTTCTCGGTATTTATGCCCACCCCTACAAACTATTGACTATGAAGAAAAGAAATAATTCAAATTATTGACTTGTGGTGTAAACAATTTTCTGATTGGCTCTCACACTGGATCAAAACCCTCTCTTTTTTTTTTAAAGAAATGCATGCATTATTTAGTATTTGGCAAAAGGGTCTGCTGGACCCATATACTTGTATGAGTTTGTATTGTGAATTTTTCTACTTATGCCTTTGTCATGTAGATCCCTGAACCCATACAAACTAATACTAGTATAAAAGTCCACCAGACCCTTTTGTCTTTAATATTTTATGAGTGAAGTTAGTTTCAAGTACATAAACAAGTAATCCCTCTATCCTAATTTATATGATTGTTTTTTGGCCACTTTAAAAAAAATGACATTTCTATATTAAGTAATAATTTAATTTTAAAATATTCATTTTATTTATCCTTAATAAAATAATTTATAGCTGAACAAATTTCGTACGTGCTGACTCACATAAAATGGGACGGAAGAAGTAATTGAAAGAGAGAAGAGGTGCAAAATAAGAATCCCCTCCAAACTATGATGAAAGCACGCACTAGGTAGAAAAACTCCTCCAACACATGGCTCTAGTGGGAAAATGATATATATCAGCCTCTATTATTATTGCAATAAATGAATATGCTACATGTTGGGTAAGCTATCGTCGGATAAATCAAGTAACCCTCAATCTCCACGGCAAAACCAATACAGAATTGTTCAACTAATGTTAATAATATTTCATATAATCCAGATGTTGCTCTTTGCTCGATTAAGAGTTCCTTCCCTAAAAGGGTTTTTGCCTATCAATATTGGTATACAAAATGAATGTACAGTATTATACCACTATCTCCACCAATCTGGCACTTTCAACCTTCTGTTTCTATGTACATCAAGTTGGGTAGCAGGAAGCTTGTGCTTCACTTCCCTCCATATCATGTTTACAGCATCACCCTTTTTCGGAGGGTATTGGTACTCAAAATGATGGTTAATCTTCTTAAGATAGCCCCACATTTCAACCCATCTAGCTTTTGAAACACTCCTCAGCTGATCAAGCATGTATCCTTCTTTCTTTGCCTCCTCACGTGAGAAAAATATCGAGAATTCGGTATAGTCCAATTCATCCTCAAAAGGTAGCTCAATTCTGTCACTCACAATTACAGGAACACAATGGCTGACTATAGCATCAAACAGGCGGCAAGATGATGGGGTGTCCCCTGCTGGGTGTAGACAGAACTTTGACAAACGCATCCCATTTGTTGACTGAAATACAAAGGGAAAACTATAAGTAGAGGCAATTAGTTAGGTGGGGGGACTTTTTCTTTAATAAGGTAGGTGAGGGACGTTCTTAATCTCAACTGCAGTGGTACCCCTTGTGATAAAACTGGCAGGTCAACGGAAACGGCCAATAATTAAGGATCCAACATATGGCATTATACCGAAGTACATTGCAATGTGATCTCCTATATTCCAGTTGTAACAACAAAGAGATGCCACCCAATTAATCAGTTTTGATAACTAAACAACTTACTTCATTTACACCTTTCCCTGAGATTCCTGCTGCTTCAAAGACAACATCCTTTTGACCACTTAACATGTCTTTCATTTGCTGACGGTCTTTTCCATCCTGCAGCATGAACAGAGTTGGAACAATCTTCATCATCTGAGAATACATGAGTTTTGGTGGGGGAAAAAAATAGAGTACAATATTCTCAAATGATTTGATTCAAATAAATCAATTATTTGAGAGCATATATGATTGATTTATTCAGAATTCAGATGAGCATACATCTTTTCTGTCTGTCCTCCCACGGAAGAAAAGAAGCGTTGTGCGGGACTCATATGGGTCTGAAATGTCATCAGCTTCAAAAGTTTCAACCACGTGTGCATATGGGGCCACTACATCTTTCCTCAAATTAGACACTGTTGGAGGAGGACGACCAAAATCTGCAACAATGAAAATAGCAGCATTCACCTTCTCCCGGTAACGCCTGAAAGCATTTGGATGATGCATTGGGATCACATGATCCCGACCAGCAGACCTCTTCCAATGTTCTGACTTTTGTAAGAAGTCCATAATTTCAGCCTGTTAGAAGAACAAAGCCAAAGCAAAAACAGAATAATTATTACGGGAAGGAATACTAGAATAACACTAGTACTACATCCCAATTCTAAACCAATCTGATCAGTTATATGAATTACTTCACCGATATACCTATCTTTGTGCAAACTAAAAAGACTCTTGAAACACCAATCCTAATGTACGCGTGCCAACACCATAAAACTTAATCCCAACTAATGTACGCATACCAACAGCATAAAACTTAATCCCAAATAATGTACGTGTACGAAACACCATAAAACTTAATCCCAAATAAGGTACGTGTACCAACACCATCAAACTTAATCCTAACTAAAAGACTCTTGAAACACTAATCCTAATTTTCCTGTTCTTGCCATGTACTCCTGCTTCAACCCAGCTGTGCAGTGTCTAATTTTCCGAGGCATAGTCCAGGCACTATTTTTTAGCCTAAGAAATACTCTCCACAATTGACTAGTGACCTTGCAGTGTATGAATAGGTGGACCACTGTTTCTGTAGTTTACCCACAGAAAAAGTTTTCCAAAGAAAAAACATTTGAAGCATCGTGGGATTCCCCTCTTCATCAGGTTATCTTGTGTCAGCACAACTTCCTTTGCCAATAGCCATACAAAGCAGACTACTTTATGTGGGATTTTGGCTTTCCAAATATGTTTCCAAGGCCATTTAATTAATTGCTTGTTTGGATGGTTTAGCTTCCTTTAGGCTGCATTTACTTCAAAAGTCCCTTTGCTATTTCCTTTCCACTATAGGATGTCTTGTCCCATCTTCAAACCACTGAACTGATCAATGGTGTTGAAAAATTCTATAACTCTTGGAATTTCCCAGTCATTGAGATGTCTCCTGAATACAAAGTTCAACCCCTTGAGGTGTCCACAATTTTGCTATTGTGCTCTGCTGATGTGGGGCAAGGTTGTATATATCTTGAAATAGTATCTCCATATTGCCTACTTCATGCCAATCATCGTTCCAAATAATAGTTTTAGCTCCATCTACCACTTCAATCTTGGTGTTGACTTTGAATTCATTGCATAACATTCTGATGGATTTCCATAAGCTAACACCATAGGGAGTAGTAACTTCCTTTGTCATCCAGTTATCCTTTTCCTCATATTTGGCTTTAATGACAGTGCCCCACAGGTTCTGATTTTCATTAAAATACTTTCAAAGCCACTTGGTTCTGAGAGCTTTACTTTGGTTCTTCAGGTTCTTGATCCCCAAACTCCCAGTTTTCTTCTCAATGGTCATTTCCTTCCATTTGACTAGATGGAAGCCCTTGCTATCTTTGATTCCTTGCCATAGATATTTCTTCTTGATGCGATCCAACCTATTGATGATTTTTGTTGGGACAGGAAATAAAGCCAGCATAAATATTGGAAGTGCATCAAGCACAAAATTTATCAGAGTCGGTCTTCCACCCAAAAATTTATTGGAGTCGGTTTCAAAACCTTATTTTACTGGGAGTTTCCGTCAGTTCAAGGCTTTGGTTTACTTAACTCTCGCTAATATCGTAAACTAATAATATCATTTGCAAATAGCACGCACCATGGTAGTTACCGGTTTCAAAAAAATCGCATGCACCATCGTTGTCTCGTCTCATACACTTGGTTCTTTCATCCATAAGTAACCCAAGCAAGTAACCTAAAAAATAGATCTGTGGTGTAAACTCACAATTATGAGAACCTGCTTTATATCCCGTTGTTCTAATGCTTACAATAGCTCCTTGGTACATCTCCATTATGAAATTTATATATTTAACAAGAATTCTTTTTATTCTCCAGCACCTGCAAAAAAACTTCTTGGCAATTCATCATATGTTTTCTCTAGGTCATTGGATACTTCCTTTTCCTACAAATCTCCACCAATCTGTTAGCAAATATAGCATTTGTTGTAGATCCTACAGCCACAGGTAACAATTTATTCTTTGGCACCCTTCTAAATCTCTAAGCCTATGCTCAATCCTATTTGCTCAAAATTTATTGTATGACTCAGAAGTTTATTACCACAAACTTTCACACAATTTGATATATCTTTATTTGACAAGTTACATTTTGAAAATCTCTGTTTTCTAATATTTGAAACCAAGGTACTCTTTCTCTTCTACCCTTCGGAGTGGCCCAGTGGTTTGGGCTTAGGACTTCCACGTTGGATGTCTTAAGTTCGAAACCCTTGCCAATGAAAGCAAGGGGTTTGCCTTCTGGGTCGAGCTCGTCGCACCGGGTTTGCCTAGTGAGGATTACCTCTATTGTGTGGCTTGCTTGCTATTGCATTGGAGCATGGGTTTACCCTATGCGCACTCAAAGGGCGGCTGCGAGTTTTCCTTGTCATCCATAAAAAAAAAAAATACTATTTCTCTACTTATTTGTCATCTTTCCACTGCAATATAATTGTAAATAGCTTAGCAGGTTACTATTTAAACCTTTGTAGGGATGTCATCTCAACAATAGGATTTTCTAACCCTTATATTGTTATACAACAACAAACTCAGTGGAATTACGTGGGGTCTAGGGAACCCTTTTATTTTTTTTTATGACAAGGAAAACTCGCAGCCGCTACCCTTTGGGTGCGCACATGGTAAAACCCCCGCTCCTATGCAATAGCTCGCAAACCACATAGGAGAGGTAACCCATACTAGGCAAGCCCGGTGCGACGAGCTCAACCCAGAAGGCAAACCCCTTGCTTTCGCTGGCAAGGGGTTTCGAACTTGAGACCTCCAACATGGGAAGTCCCAAGCCCAAACCATTGGGCCACCCCGAAGGGTGGAACCCTTATATTTTTATGACATCCTTTAATTAAAAGGATCTTTTTTTTCTTTTGATAATTGTAGTGTTCGTACCAACTTTCCCACCTCGACAAAGTCCATGGGATACCTGTCACTCCCACCAACAAGTATTAGGTAACTTTGTCCGCCAAAGCTAGGAAAGATGAAAAGCCTAAGTTCTCAAGATTCTCAAACCACTTCATTGACAACTAGGCCACACCCTTGAGTTTAATTCTACGAACCTAGTTTCATGAGTGTAGCTAAAGTTTCGCTCTTGAGCAAATATTCAAGGATATGTAGTGTTATCTTTGTAATTGGAGTTAAATAATTGATCAAAATAGATGATATATATATATATATATATCTTCTTTGATCTCACTATCTCTTGTCAAAACTTGTTTGGCATCCTTTTATTACACTTGACAAGGTTCAAATCATTGCTCCTCTTCTCTCACGTGTCCTAGGATTTACTTTCTTTCTCCACTTCCCACATCCTTAATTTTTTGGATTAAGTCACATAAGATTTTACCAGGCATGACAAATAGCCATTTTACCTTTCTTAACTCCCTTGTGTTCTTCCAAGGCTTTAATCATGTTCTAACTTTTCACAACTTTCCAGACTAGCAAAAGACGGCACAAGCCTGCATAGCTTACTTACATGACTAACTCAACAAAAGCTAAGGTGAAATTGAAGATATATAGAAATTTCTATGTCACTCCTTTTCCTTTAATCTCCTTCCTCGATTCTCCTCAAGTTCTCCACATATATCTCAGAATTTAGGTTTTATAACTCTATTTTTAGGTGAATCCCTGCACCCATATCCATGCATGGATCCATATTCCCGAATCTTAAAAATTAGATCACAAAGGATCCGACCTCTAGATTCGCACCCGTATCGAACACTCGCACCCGAGTCCGAGCAACTTCGTCTTTGACCACTTTGGTCCTAAGTACTGCTATATGCTCAATCAATTTATATTGTTCTTGTTGAAATGATTTGGCCCCAAAAGAATGTTACTTTATGGTTCTCAAGACCAATTAATAACTAATACATCAACTCCTCTTCCAAGTTCATTCACTATGGCACATCTCTCTTTGATCTTACTATCCCTTGTCAATACATTTTGGGGGTCATCTTTCAATAACAAGGTTCCATCTTCACCCCTCTTCTCTATTCAGTGTACTGGATATATGTTTCTTTCTACTTACTCTGCATACTAAGTTTAAAAAAAGACTTCACCTCAAACTTCACCAATAGCTTCTTTATTCTCCTAACTCTCTTAACTCTCTATACTATTCAAAGATTTCATCTTCTTTTCATATTTTTAAATGCCAGCAACAAAAGACTACACAATTCACTAACTTTACCAATCCAACTAGCAAGGGGCTCCCACCCTTTTGGTTCCAGAAGAATGCTACTTGAATGTTTCTTGGCACCAAGTAATGGCTAATACACCAATTCCTCTTCCAACACTATCATGGGCCCTTTGCAAATATTCCACATTGAATGGACTTAAGAATCCCTCCAGAATTTTTATCAAGTTATCCAAAGGTAATGATTCTTCAACTGACAATGTAAATGTAGGAGAACTTTATATAAGACCAAATAATGCATAATTTACTTTGCAAACCTTATTGGTCTGAAGTGTTCCTTAACACAACCTAACTTTAGATGCATTTATCATTTCTTTTAACAAAAGAACAACCTTCACCACTGCATGAATGAACAGTGAACAGGATTGGGAGAAGTCCTTTTAATAACCACCTCCTTGAGAGAGCCAAACTGCTAGCGTCCTCTATAAATTTCATTGGTTAACCAAAACGGAGAACATTAGCATCAACTCACAGAATCCTTATTTTTCAAAGCACTTCACCTACTTCCCTTTTTTGTAGGTCCCAAAATACTTGACCTATTTCCTTAAACAGAAATCTTTTTCATTTAACAATAATTCAAAAAAATATAAGCTTTAGGATTTTAACACCTGACAGTTTTCATCAACTAATTCTACTTCTCATGTTTTAAAATTATTGTTGTAAACTCTGTTTCATCTGACTACAGTATAAGATATTCTCATGCTCAAACTTCTCTTCATCATCATAACAATCAAAATAGGTCAAGTTTGCCTAGGTGGAAGGAGTGTGAGTTAGCAATATGTGCATAGAAAATGAGTGTCTTTACCAAACATTTAGTTGAATAAATCACACAGCCAGGTTTTTTAAGCTGCACTATGAATTGCAAGACGCATCCGCCATTCCACTTTCACAGGTTAAATGACCAGACAGTACACAGTCAGGGTTAAGCCTTTTAAAGGACTTATTAACTAGAATTTGGATTTCTAACAGCTATTAGTTTCCAGGTTGAACTTCTTAAGTATGAGGCATAATATTTTCTATTTTGTTTTTAGATAAGCTAAGATAATTTTATTAATAATGGAAACAAAATCATGTATACAAGAAATACACAAAAAAGTAGAGAACCTGTATAAAAATATGATACTTAATATTCTATACATATTGAAACCTCATGGGGACATAAAAAAGAAATGGGAACAAAATGCTATTCCTCAATTAAATGTCTTGTATAGAGCTATAATATCTTAATCTTATCCTATACTTGTGAGGAACTGTCTTGATGCCAATAAAAGGTCTGGTAAACAGAAACAAGAATTACTAACATCACCCTTCGGGGTGGCCCAGTGGTTTGGGCTTGGGACTTCCATGTTGGAGGTCTCAAGTTCGAAACCCCTTGCCAGTGAAAGCAAGGGGTTTGCCTTCTGGGTTGAGCTCGTCGCACCGGGCTTGCCTAGTGCGGATTACCTCTCCTATATGGTTTGTGAGCTATTGCATAGGAACGGGGGTTTTACCCTGTGCGCACCCAAAGGATAGCGGCTGCGGGTTTCCCTTGTCATAAAAAAAATAAAAAATGAATTACTAACATCATCTTTCTTTTCAATTAACAGGACATATTTACAGTTGAAATATCTTGGCCCAAGTGTTAGACTCTAACTAAGAAGTCTGCATAAAGAGAAGAAAGTATGGAAATGTAACTGAGGAAAAAAAGTTCTTACATGAGAGAAACAAATCTAACAAAAGCAACTAATCTTTTTGCTTTCCTTATCAATACTCGCTCCTGTTTCAAAACACACTAAAAATATGCTTAGCAGTAATTGTTGTTGAGAAGTATAGAAAAACTCAATTATGGAACATACATAAGTACAAGTATTTAAGAGTCAAGCAGAGTTTGTAATGTAATATACTAGATAGAAAGAAGGAATTATCACCTGCAATTGATCATCATATTTGACCTCTGAATCATTCCCATGTCTATAGTAAGTATTATAACTCAAGGAAGAGAAAAAAGGGACAAAAAACACATTAGCAGATTCAGGGTCAAAAACCCTAACAGCTTCTCGTGTATGGCCATTTTCATCATCAATTGAATACAACAATGAGGCCAACATCCAATACTCCACACTATGTTGTTTCCTCAAACCTGTATACTTGGGCCATTTAGGCAAAGTGTCGATAGTAACAGGAGGAGCATTATAATGCGATGATCCTTTCAAAAATCCGACGTTGTATTTCATCTCAAGATCATACATGTAAACCTTGAGAGGTTCAATATCCGATTCTTCAGTGAAACAGGGGTTAGGTTTACTTAGAGGAGAATCGAATAGAGAAAAACTTGATCTGTAATCGATAGTTCCAGTATAGAACAAAGAAGCAAAAAGAAATAAAATGAACACGGCTAAACATACTAAACTCTTACTCATTGTATCATTCACTTTCATCTTTTTCCAAATTCACATTCAAATCTGAATAAGAGCAAGATTAGAATTTAAGAAATGAAATTTCATATATTCGTCTATTGGGATATGGGCAACTCTGAGCTGTGCTTTAATCTCGAACATCGTGATGGGGCGGTTAAGGGATTATACTATTCCCATCATTACAACTTCAACATTTCTTTCTAACAAAATTGTATTTTATTTTTTTATATAATTCATCAAAATTAGTACTCCCTCTTTCAAAAAAATGGTCTAGTATGACTTGAACGGAATTTAAAAAAAATAAGAATTTTTTAATCTTGTGATTCTAAATTAAAATTATGTCAAATGTATCAAAATATTTTTTAATTTTGTGGCCTTAAACATGTCATGTGAAAAGTTGAAGTTAAAGTGTTGCAAAAAAAAAAGAGGTCGTTCTTTTTGAAACAGAATAAAAAGGAAACTATGTCATTTTTTTTTTTGAAACGGAGGGAGTATCAATTACCTATTTTTCAATTTAATTTTTTCACATAGTACCCATAATCACTTCACGTCTTTGTAAAATTTAAAATGGTGTGTGTGTGGGGGGGGGGGGGGGGTTACAAAATATAAATCACATAGTACCCATAATCTCTTCACATGCTTTCAACATATCTTTCAAAGTCTGAATTGTACGCTCCGCTTGCTCATCGATTTGTGAATAAAAGGTCGTACTAAGCTTAACACGAATACTAAGACCCTTTTGAAAAGATTTCCAAAACTGAAAAGTGAATTGGGTACCACGATCGGAGATAATGGACAAGGGCACTCCATGCAACCTCACAATTTCCCTCAAATACAACTTAACTTAGTCCTCCACCGAATAAGAAACCTTGACGGGAATAAAATGAACTGATTTAGTCATTCGATCTACTATAACCCAAATCGAGTCATGTTGTCGTCGGATACGTGGTAAAACAACAATGAAATCCATATTCAAATCTTCCCACTTCCAAATAGGAGTGTTAATATCTTAGGATAAACCTCTCAGTTTTTTGATGCTCAACTTTCACTTGTTGACAATTAGAACACTTAGCCGCAGATTCTGCAATATCCTTCTTCATCCCATTCCACCAACAGATCTCCCGCAAGTCATGGTACATCTTGGTGTCTCCCGGGTGAATAGAATATCGAGAACTATAGGCTATGGACTATCTTTTCTCTCAAGTTATCAACATTAGGAACACACAAACGACCTTGATATCGAAGCACACCATCTCCCAATTGGGAGAAAGCCTCTACGGACTTCTTAAGAACCGATTCCTTCAACTCAACCAAAATCAGATCAAGCCCTTGTTTGGCTTTCACATCTACCACAAAGGATGATTTTAAACCGTTGTGAACCATAACACCACCCTTGGTAGAGTCAACTAGTTGAACACCCAATCGAGTCAATCTATGAACATCTCAAACTAACTCCTTCTTATTATCTTCAATGTGAGCAACATACCCATCGATAACCGACTAAGAGCATCCACCACCACATTTGCTTTACTGAGGGTGATAAAGAACACTAATGTCATAATCTTTCAATAATTCAAGCCACCTCCTTTGGCGAACATTCAGATATTTCTCTTTGAACAAATATTGCAAACTCTTGTGGTCAGTAAAAACATCCACATGAACACCATATAAGCAATGCCTTCAAATCTGCAAACATAAGTTGCTAATTCAAGGTCATGGGAATCTTAAGTTGCCTTGAGGCATAGGCAATAACTTTTTCATTTTGCATAAGGACACACCCTAACCTAATTTTTGAAGCATCACAATAAACAACAAATCCATCGGTTCCTTCCGGTAGAGTCAACACCGGAGCGGAAGTAAGTCTATTCTTCAGTTCTTGAAACTTACTCATCCTTGCCCTAGGATCGGCAATCATAGTAGGAGCATATCTAGAAAATTGTGTGAACTTCAAAGTATATTCCTTCATACTCATGTTTCCTTGACGAATGTTGATGAATTCAAGCACCTTTGCCTCCCTCATCTCAAGGGGAAAGAACCTATCAAGGAAAGAAACTTTGAACTTTTCCCAATCAAGAGGACCCACATCTTCCGCTCTCCCTTCTTTCCATTAGTTGTACCATATTTGAGCAACACCCTCAAGTTGACAAGCAGCCAACTCCGCCTTTTCCATCTGCGTCACTTACATGATCATCAATACCTTATACACATCATCAATGAACTCTTGAGGGTCTTCCTCAACCTTAGAACTATGGAACTCCGGAGGATTCATTCTAGTGAAATCCCTCACTCTAGATGCTGTCATACCCACATTTGGGTTCACCGGTGTCACACCTCTGCATTTACAAAATGTTAAGGATGTAACGGTTTTTTTTTTGAAAATAAAAAGTAAAAGAATTTTTTTTAGAGTCACCACTTGGAATTGAGTTTTTTAAGTGTTCCAAGTCACCTGAAAATTCCTAATTTAAAAAGAAAAGACTCTTTATTTTTAGGACGGTATGCATGCGGAAGGTGGGGAAGGGGTAGTTAGTCCTTGTAACGGAGATGATGAAAATTGACTCGAACTTAAGATGACAAACATTGGTTTTGTCTTTCCGAATAATAAGCCGAGCGCTAATCCGTAGAAGGGTGTTTGTTTAGGTTTTGGAGTCTCCCTTTCCCTTTTTTCTTTTTTTTATTTGTTTATATTTATAACTGCTTGGGGTAGTTTAATAAATAAAAATGATTTTTGCCTATCTATTTGTCTATTTTCTGTCTTCTCGCTTATTCTCTTAATTTATATAGATATTAATTGTTTAATGTTATTTATCACATAGTAAGCATGCTTAATTAAATAACAAATAAATGAAGTGACCTTAATTGCTACTTGTAACCCCCACATAATTCATGAGATATGACCGGGACCAACCTTTGTGGACCTCGAGGGATGCTTAACACCTTTCCCTCAAGGTAATTTGAACCCTTACCTGATCTCTAGTTCGTTGACCTTTAGTTAGGTTAGATATGTGCCATAGCACGTTTTAATTCGTTAGATGATGACTCTTCATTCACCCAAATCCAAAAGAGTTGTTAGGTCATGACCGAAACCCATTTTTCGGAAAACGAGGCACGACAGGGAACATACACAAGTCTTTGAACGCGTTGAACGCGACACTTTTGTGTCCTCCTAGACCTTGCATAATTTTCATATGTTGCTCGATGCTTTTAATCTTTTTAACATTTCTTCTTGCTCTGAGCCTTCAGTGGGCCTTTCAACGTCAATAGATGAGACAAATTGTATAGAGTTAGGGCCTCCGAATGTTATCCCATGAGTATAGTACTACTCTGGCTAGGTGGTGAACTATCCCTCTTGAGCTGCTCTGTGTGTCACAGTTGGTTGTGGGAGAGTATAGACTGGTACATCTGTCGTGATAGTGGGATTATTCCTGAATGGCATGCCTTGAGGGCATGTTGTTGACGGTCTGACCCCATAATTATCAAATGAACCATACCCTGGAGGGAAGAAATGATCTGATATCGGGACCTGAGAAGATGAAGATCAGATACTCGTGATCTCAGGAAAACAGGAATAAACGTTGGTGGTTCTTGGCTGTTGGCCCAGGCTTGCCACAATTGTGCCATAACATGTCTCAATGTCCAATTTTATTCAACAATGGATGACTCTCTTGTCGTTGAATCAACTAGAGCATTCACGAGGTTCACCACAGTTTCAGTATTGGTTGTCATTTACGCTCTTACCTTAGACCTGGTAAAGTACGGGAGTTCTGCCAGTTTACCATAAACCAATCACCGAAAGCTTACTAAATTAAAGGAGAAATGAACAAACTTGTTGGGGGTTAGACAATTTTATACATCAATCACACATTTGTTAATCACATAGTAACATGAGTTCAGAAGGCCATTGTCTCATCCCCGCTTTGCTTTGCTCATTGTCCTCCTCTTTTTCTCTTCTCTTTTTTAAAAAAAGTTTTAATCAAACCCTTTGGAGGTTGCCTACGTATCATGTCTCCGCATTAATCAGATCATTACGTAGTTCAGAAATTTAGACAACACAATGGAATTAATTTAGAAAAGCAAAACCAAACCCTTTTATTCATTTACAAAGACTTTAAACAAAACGACAAAACCAAGGGGCTTAAACACAACTATGATCAGCATGATCTCTTTGAACATAAAAAACTTTAAACTAAAACATGGAGTCTTAAACGAACAAACAAAAACTGTTGAACTCTTCTTCAATCCTCTTCATCTTCTTGGGGCTTTCGTTGTCCTCCCAAGGTCTCATACAGATTCAACAACACCTTTGGCAGATGGGAAACAATGACACGTGCTTGCTCAACCACTTTTGTGTCATTCATACGACGGTGATTTTTAATAACATAGGAGGTTTGTTCTGCTAACCGATGAACTTGACGTCTAGCCCTTCCCATATTTTCATGGCAATTATTCAACCACACCTGATGATCACCAAGATTGTTCCTTAGAGGGCCTCTCGCTCCTCTAATGCATCAAGTTGATTACGAAGTGTTGCTCTCTCAATGATCATTTGTCTTTACTCTACTTCGATATCGACACAATGACTGATTTTCTTTTTATGTTTTGCTAACTGTGACTTAAGTTGATCATGTAAGTGCATCCACCATGACCTTTCTTTCTTAAATTTCTCCTTCTGCCGCTTAAACTCTCCCTTTTGGTAGTGCACGACCTCTTCATATGCCACAAGTCCCTCTTCAATCGAGAAATCTTAAAGCTCTGCTCCTTTATTATCTATCGGGCCAAATGAATTCTACTATCCAGATCCTCCTTTAAGCGAGCTAATTTCCCCTATGTATGCTTCAATTCCCCCTTCACATCTTGTAACTCCAACTGGTGATTTCTTCCTATTTGGACTTGAACTTCTTGTCGAGCTATGGTGGCTTTGGCCTTCTCCAACTCTTTTTCCAACTGTCTTATGGTGTGCTTGTCTTTCTTTTTCTACTGGATCCTTCGGGAGTGTCACCAAATGTTACTGGATCACAAAACCATGATA